ATGGCGGCAAAAAAAAATCCCCGGCATGGGGCCGTCTCGGGAGGTCTTCAGGATCGACATAACCCTAGTTGCAACTCGCATCTTTGTTTACCTCGAGGACCAGTTTCGCTATTGCAACTGGAAGATCGTGACCATGAGCTGTCTCTCGCTTATGAGGCAAACGTGGCTGTGGTGACCGGCTTTTCAGGTCTTCTGGGTGAGGGACACTAAAATGATTCATGTGAGAACCAGACCTATCTCATCCGTTCGCCGTCCGAGCACTCGTGCAGCATGTAATGCAAGAAATGAGGCTCTGAGCACGGAATCTCAGGCTCCCGACAAGTATCGCTTCACCCGATGTTTCTTCATCCAACCCACAGCCTTTCCGTGCGGGGAGACCCCTCATCGCGCATATCCTACGGGACATGCTGGCCAGGTTTGATCAGCGTAAACAAACTGGGTCACGAATCCCACCCACCGAGCCGACGAACCTCTGCCCCTGTTCGAGGCCTCCCCACGGCAAGAAAGGGATGCGATTCGCCTGATACTCGAAACGCCTCTGCAATGTACATCAGAACAACACCACAGAACACGAGCACAGTAAGCAAGCACATACCCAAAATCGTTCGCCAAGGCGAGACGAAAGCGTCGTTTCGAAATGGAAATAGAGTCCGCGTTGCCAAGAAACGTCAGCGGGATGCCATTCGATATCCACAACACCGGCTCTGCGGCAGCAGTGCGTCTCGGGAGTTCCTAAGCTTGCTCTGGATGAGTTTGTGGCGATCCGAGGCATCCGCCCCATTGGATTCTGAGAAATATTGAAATACCTGTATTCGTCCACGCATCTTTCCATCCTTCGACGAACTCTCTATCCTCAGCGTCCTATTTTTGTGCCGGTCCACTCTATAATCTCCGTTCTTCATTTACGAGCTGCGCTCTTTCAAATCAACGTACAAAGTTTAATCATTCATTCGAGTCAATACCGCCAACATGCGCTTCACCGTCGCCCTCACTACTTTGGTCGCTGCCGCCATGGCCGCACCTCTCGATACCCTTGCTGCCCGTGCAGACGAGCTCAACGCCGCCATCCAGGCTCTCGCTGCTGAGAACCCCGAGGATGCCGAGGCCGCCAAGGGTCTCTTGGGCCGTGACATCGATCCCAATGTCCAGCTCACAAATGATGACGAACAGGAGGAAGTCTTCAAGCGCGAGGACGATCTCAACGCCGCCATCCAGGCCCTCGCTGCTGAGAACCCCGAGGATGCCGAGGCCGCCAAGGGTCTTCTGGGCCGTGAAATCAACCCCAATGTTCAACTCACGAACGACGACGAGCAGGAGGAAGTCTTCAAGCGCGAGGACGATCTCAACGCCGCCATCCAGGCTCTCGCTGCCGAGAACCCTGAGGATGCCGAGGCCGCCAAGGGTCTCCTGGGCCGCGATATCAACCCTAACGTCCAGCTCACGAACGACGACGAGCAGGAGGAAGTCTTCAAGAGGGATATCAACCCTAATGTTCAGTTGACAAACGACGACGAGCAGGAGGAGGTTTTCAAGAGGGACATCAACCCCAACGTTCAGCTCACCAACGATGACGAGCAAGAGGAGGTTTTCAAGCGCGATATTGACCCCAACGTTCAACTTACCAACGATGATGAGCAGGAGGAGGTCTTCTAAACACAAGTAGCCACCAGGTTAGCTTGAATCTGAATGCTCTTTCGGCTTGATTCAGTACATCGGAAACGGAAAGCGAGAATATCTCATATATTTGATTGCTGAATAGAAGTCCAATTGATCCTGTGGAACTGTGTATTTGGACTGATGACAGAGAGCTTGACCAATAACGTAAAATGTGATTTACTACAAGATAGTGCTAACCATGGCTACGGGAGATCTTCACATCTTGTGTTCGAACCACATCCACTAAAGTTGACATTTAGCTACGGTATCTTGAGGTATGGGTAGATATCACTTCGTTATAGATTCGCGCGATACTGATAACTTCGTTGTTGAACGGGGTAGATACACGTGATGAAGAAAGACGAAAGTCTGTCAAAGAATATCTATTTCACCCAAGTCACATGAATAACAGCCAATCTTTTACTGACTTGGTTCATTTATTGATGTAATGCCGCAAAACTTGATGGTTATTCTATTTATGGCCAATGTTCTGGCGACTTGATGATATGGTCGAGTTGGTGCCGAGAGTGTCATCTGAATCCTTGGCCTTGTCTGATGACTGTCTGGGTAAGGACAGTATGTCTATACCGCACTCATAATGATATGGGTCTGTTGATGTATCCAGGTTTCGACGCGGATCCCTTTGAAATGAGAAGGTTGCCAGATTGCCGGTCCAAATTTCCTCATGGTAGGTAGTCGCTACATTTGATGTATCTTGGAAACTAATATCCGCCGTGCTTTTTGGATCGGCAATCGCATCCACGTACGCATTCCCAGTAGACATCATCCCCGGCAATCGAGGTAATGCCGCAGAGTGCAGGGCAAAGGGGTCTCAAACTCGCCTTCGATCAGGTCAGACGTTGGCAACATATAATGCAGTGATGTGTTTACTTACGTGGATACACCTTGTTGATGTTGATACGGTCGTCATAGTCCCGTCAAACTCCTTTGCCGAAATGGAGTCTGCCATCGCAGTCGGGGGCGCATGGCTGGGTGCTGCTTGGCCAGTTTCTTTAACCTCAGTTGGAAGTGCCATGCCAGGAGTGATCAAGGCGGCAACAATGAGCTGAAAGAAGGGTGACAGATGCATCTTGACGAGCTTCAAATAGATTGGGCTCTGTTCGCTGTTCAAGTCTGAATTACGGGAGATGTATGAGGTAGTGAATTGTTGTATTTTGCGTTAGATGTCGGTTAGAAAACGAAATCGTAGGTGCGAAATGAAGTTTGATCTGCACATTGCAGAATTTTCCGTCACTTCAGTATTTTGGGTTTGAATGGGACAGGACTGCTGCATAGCAGAATTGTGTTAGGTTCGGAGCTGGATGGGACAGGGCTTCGTGGGTCTAAACTCCCTTGATGGAAGGCACTCGGTCAAGGTGTAACTTTATCTTCTAATCGGCACCTTGACCATACGCTGAACATACCTGGATGGCCTTTGAATGGCTTGGAACAAACCAGACCTCGATCAAGCTTCCAGTCAGACGTATTGTAAGTACAATTACGATATGTTATGTTATCGTGCGAAGTGCGTGTCAACATTTTACATTGGAGGTGGGATGAACTATCGGAAAACTCCTTAAGAAAGCTCATTCCTTGCTCCCAAGGAACAGGTTGAGATGTTGTGTATAGAGCTCTGGGTACTGGAATAGATGACCATGACCGGCATCAGGATAGATTATGAGCTGAGCATCCGACAAGTTCTGTTGAAGAGTGAAACTGTTGGAAGTTGGCGACATAATATCAGTGTGGCCGTTGGTGACTAGAGTGGGAGCTTTGATAGTCTTCATGCGCTCAAAGTTGTCCGTATCAACCGTAAACGAGAAGATTGCATTCAGTTGGGCCCTTGCTCCAGGTCCGATCAGGTATTCTCTGCGCTCCTCGCCGTCAACCTTTCGCTCATGGATTCGTTTCCACCATGCTTCACCGAGTGCGACGCTCGTTTCCGACGGGTGGTAGAAAAGATGGAACATGTCCTCCTTGGTAGGTGGCTCATCGTTGGCTGTTCCGGCACTTTCTAGAACTTCGCGGGGTGGCAGGACAACTCCTTCTCCGACACCTGGTTGAGTCCCAGCCAGAATCAACTTTCGAACCAGCTGAGGATAGTCCCATGCCAGAATCTGAGCCACACCACCTCCCATGGAAAAGCCAATGACATCAGCCTTGGAAACACCAAGGGTAGCGAGAAACTTGGCTGCAATTGAAGCCATGACTTCAGTGGAAGAGGGCACCTCGCCCTCACTGTGCCCGATACCAAAGCTGTCATATACGATGACTTCTCTTGACTTGGCAATCGTATTGAAGAGAAGAGGGTCGAGAGTGTCCATTGAACCACGAAGATGGTTGATGAAAAGCAAAGGGACCTGACTCTTTACCCCGATCCGGCGGTAAGCGATTCGGGTGTTGTCGACGGCGACATATTGAGTCTCCACTGTTTGATAGGTAGACATTCCGATGGTGAGCAAAGTTCGGTGAGGATTGTGACTGGACTGGATATTGAATACTTGAGTGAGATGAAGTTGCTAACTTGTATTCTTTTCGATGAAAGAGATCGATTCTCGAGTCTAAGCATCTCTTAAGTGGACTTTATAAACATTTCTTCGCCTGCATCGCCCTTTTCGCGTTCAAGAGCAGTGCTGGATGACGTCCTGACCTTCCGGTAAAACTCCGCGATATGTCATCCTTTCCGACTGGGAAAATCACCCTCGGAAGCTCTAACGTAGGCCAAGATTTAGTATGCTTAGTAGAATGAATGGAACATTTGTATACCTTACAAAGCCTCTTCACTCAGCTGTTGCACTTGATTACTCAATGGCACAGATCCAAACCATACCCCAAACTTCGGATCCGGGGCAATGTGGAGCAACCTAAAGGTACGGACCGACGTGTGGGGTAATTAATCAGTAATCGTTCCGGATGGAGTGCCGGAGTAATCCGGGCCCGCCGGCTCCCAGACAATTTCTAAGCGGACAGGCGTAGACGGAAGAACCAAATGAGATCAAGATGCCAGTCTCTGGATCCTCTAGGTAGATGTTGATGAAAAACAACTTCAACTGCCGCAATGGATTTGATCCATTCCGACTGAGGAGATGTTAAGTAATCAGGCACACGGTAAGACGTCGTCATGATGTGTAGTGTCTTGCTGCATAGATGCCGTTAAATATGTGATAAAACTCCTCCCAGATTACGATTTGTACACATCAAATTCCGTTAGCCTTGTTTCTCTACTCGCTTTCCACCCTTTGCGCAAATACTAGTATAAAGTTCGATCATATCACAACGTACAACCTTTAGCAAGTATAGATTCTTTGAGAAACATCTATAAGATTGTCTGGAACGCTGGATAGATGGATAAGATGATGAAGGCTTACCAGTTCTCAACCCCAGCGAAAGGCCTGGAGTACCGTGAGCTACCTATTCCGGTCCCAGCCAAGGACCAGCTCCTGGTTCAGATCAAAGCGACCGGTCTTTGCCACACGGATTGCAACATAATTTCTGGACTCGACAATACGTTCTTTTGGAACAGGCCCATCACTCTAGGCCACGAGATTGCTGGCGTAGTAGTTGGTTGCGGACCTAAGGTTTCGAAGTTTGCCGCTGGAGACAAAGTCGTGTCTGTAGTCACCGCGAAACACCCGGTAGAGATCGGAGATGTTGTCAGAAGCCCCGGCATCGGCATAGACGGCGGATTCGCCGAATACGTTTTACTCTACGAATCGAAGACCCTGCCCATACCCGACGGAGTCAGCTTTGCACAAGCCGCCGTTGCCACAGATGCCGTTGCGACAGCCTACCATGCCGTTGTAACTGAGGGGCAAGTTCAAAAATCATCGAAAGTTGCCATCATTGGACTAGGTGGCCTTGGGTTATCCGCTGTTCAAATTGCATCTCACCATGGCGCCAAGGTCTATGGGGTCGACATCCATCGTCGCAAGTATCCTGCAGCACTGATGTCCGGGGCCTACTGCTGCGGAAGATCCCTGGATGACTTCCCTGGCGTCAAGTTTGATGTTGTTCTTGACTTTGCTGGAGTCGGCATTACCACCGCTGCCGCCGCCAAAGCCGTTAAGGCGGGTGGCAAAGTTGTTCTCGTCGGGCTCACCAAGAAGGAGGCCACAATCGACACGCACAACTTCGTCGCCTTGGGCGTGCACCTTGTGGGATCTGTTGGGTCATCGATGGACGAAGTTGAGACAGCGCTGGAAATGGTTGCAAAGAAGGAAATTACTCCTGCTATCGAGGAGGTTGCGTTCGGGAACTTGAAGAATGAGTTACACCGCCTGGAACGAGGTGATACTGTCGGGCGTCTGTATGCCGACCCATCCAAATCAGTTGAGAGGGTGGTGAGAGCCTAGAAATTGCGAATCTGAAGATATCGATTCAACGATTTTGTGATCGAGTCCGAGTTCAGTCACGCGGTATACTACTGTTTGATCATTCTCTTCCTTTAATTCCGAGTGACTTTCTTCTGCTCTGGTATCTCTCGATCGCTGTACGGTCGTTTCCGTTACCGATGCCTCCCTGGCTGATTGAGAGTCTTGGTATTGATTATCGATGATTCTCAGAAGATTGCACTTTGTGCTTAGTGAGGGTGACAACCTGAATCAGAATCCGGCTGCACCCCTTGAAGCTCGTCTAATTTCGTGGTGAGCCTGGCCCTCAGTCGTAACTCATCTTCTCTAAGGTGTGGGAGCTGCGTAGCCTGCCGTGAATGGGGTGAAAGAGGGCTTGGTTGTCAGGCACCCAATCAGTCTAGTCGCAGTTTCTGGTGCATCTGTCCGCTTATTTTGTCTCCGCCTGATGCTGGATATCTTACAGAGCTCGGGTGGATCCCTTGGCTGCTTGGAGATTCGAATGATCGTTGATTTGCATTAGCCGGCTACCCCTGGTTCTCACGGAGGGCTTCCAGGTTCGGACGGTACGAAAACAGCGTAACGCGACAAGCGTGGTGTAAGAAGGGAGGAGGCATCAAGGGCTCGAGTCAAAGGGGATGTTGCAGAATATCAAGCAGATTTCAGTCCAGTTATTCTCGCAGCTCTAGGCGGAGAACTCGCCATGGCGTCGTGTCCAGCAGGCACAGTTTCAGCACGCGTCTTGACATACTCCACTGCTCCAGGTACCGTCACTAGACATATGTGCCGGTGGGATGGTCCTAGAGGCTAAAGCAGTAGCCGCAAGCGCCGTGAGTCGCGAAGCTTTATTGATTTGGCGTGTCGGCTTCGATGAGTCTCCCCAGGCTCCATCCAGGTACCTTCGGAAATCTGCCGGGGAGGTCACTCGGGAGTGGCGGCATTGTACTCGAATTCTTGATCTATCACAACGAGCTTATGAGCTAAGGCTATCAGGGGCGGGTTTTCAGTGGGTTGAGGTCACCAACTTCTGGATAATTTTACTGTAATCGGCATCGCGTGCGGGCATGGCCCTCGCTCCTCAAACAGAGCTCTCGTCGCAGGAGATATGACGCCACACTTGAGGATTGATCAGCCTCCACGGCCGGGCCTTGACAGTGAGGAAGTACTGCTTCATGGCTGGAACAGCTTGGGTAGTCATGGAAGTTGGTATTGAGAATGGAATTGGCAGTTTGCGGCTCGCAAGCCCCCGACATCTGGACGAAGTTTCGTATCCTTCACTGATCAAAACTTGCCTTCGTATTTGGGGCGGAAAATGGTTTTTGAGGATGACTTGCGCAGCAACTTTCGCCGAGCTCTTGCTGTATCGTTATGCGCCTTCTTCCCCTTGAGATCTTCGAGACGTTGCTAGTCGAGAAGCATAAGTACGTAGCACACTGCATGGGGATAGTTTACATGCGTCCATGCCTTTTGCAAGCGGTATCCATCTAGATGCCATCTGTGATATCACGTTATGTGCCTGTAGACCATCCAGTCCTGATCTATAGTATAGTGACAAATTCCTTGAATAGCAATCTTTGGAGTTGTCTTCATAGCGAGGACGGATGAAGCCTGCCCTCTCGACCGGAGACTCAAGACTGGGTAATGGTACTAATGATCTGGAATCTCAATCGCGAATGAAGAAAGTATCACACGACAAACCGTCGAAGTATGCTGAGTCGCCTGTTTGGAATTTTAGTATTCCCAACTACTCATGTCCCACAGAAGACTTTTCACATCTAGGGCAAATAATCTGCCGTTACCTATTTGGACTGGGATTGAAGCTTTGCGGCCCGCGAATGTGGCGCAATGCCTCTCCTGCGTCAGCCCGACAGTGCTGTTCGAAACAATACAGTCAAGAACGGCACATGAGAGCTAGTACCGTCCATGGATACATCGGCATCGTGTTTTTCTGGTTAACTCCCCGCGGTATCGGCAAGGGCTCCACATCAGCACCGGCATTGCCTTCCTTTGGCATTTGCTCCGTGGCTTCTCGACGCTCCCCAAGTCAAAAGGGAACGCTGTGGCCGCCAAGTGCGGGGGACAAGTTTAGTCGATGCTCACGGCACAAAGCAGGACATGCTGGCAGTTCTCACTGGAAAGGGAAGGTGACGAATTCACACAGTCCAGAATAGAGGGGCATTTGTAAAGCATCCTGAGTTCGTTAGAGCGAAGCAATGCTTGATGTCTGGGAACCTACATCACAGGCAGTTGATCATTCTGGTACTTTTCGCATGATACAAAGTGCCGATACGCTTCACGATGCTGTAGCCCAAACTTCAAGGAGCTCGATAGTCCCACACGTCACCAAGCTTCTCGCGATGTCTATCTCCGTTCTCGGACTGCCCATCTGCCGTGTTCTCGAGATGCTCAAGACATTAGGCCTACATCTCGGGACCGACGTATCACTACTCCCTTGGCGATTAACTTGAGTCAATGGGTCTTGTCTGTAGATTTTTAGGCTGTAACGGCTTGCCTGTGTACCCTCTGGTGGCCATTGGTCCATTGGACCCTAGCACGTCTGACCTTGTAGACGTTGCTCGCAGATGTCAGTGAAGATCACCACCCTTGTCAGTCATTTGAACCACAGGTGCCCGCGCAATGCCCTTCAATCAAGTCATCGTGACCTAGAGGCTGTGATTGCCACCCGGTAAAACGGGTTCGTTTTGCTCACACAGCAAGTTTGATGCTCCTTGGTTTGGGATCTTGAAGACTGAGGTCTGTCGTGATACTAGTCCGATAGCATCGATAGCTTAGACCCCTGGTTCTGTCCCCAATGGGGCCAATACCGACCAACTCTAGGAGTGACGAGTCCCACCCAAATTGGCCGAGGCCCGACGTCTAAAAGTTGCAAGTTCCACTCGGCGGGGATGTGTACATATGTAGAGCTGGAAGTGGATTCAATGTCAGTGGAAATTTCGAGGCGTGGATGAGATTAAGAAGAAAAAGCTTCTCAGCGGCCGCAGTAAACCCAAGTGGAAGACTTGTCCGATACACCGAGTGCGTGAAAAGTACATCATTGGACGATACATTGTGGAGAGTCGGAAAGGCTGCGGAAGAAATCGTCGAAAACCCCAAATTCGGTCTTCGGTCACTAGTAGACCCCGCCATTGAACCGCCTCTGAGTGGCACTGAGTTCGAGCCGGCACGGCCGAATCCAAGAGCAATGGAGTCGATCGCCAGTTATGGTTGCAAGAATCCGAGACTAGAACTTTTGGGTGGGCTCATGTGCGGAGCACGTCATGAATATCTTACCACCCCCAAGACTCGACTTCGCCGGAGGGATCACATACCTGTAACCTGGCATTGTCTGGCATATCAAAGTCGCACAACATTGACGTCTACCCAACTCATTCTCTCGCCGAGAAGAAATGCGGAGCACTCTATGCGACAGTGTGGCTCAGCGGTGAGTCTACAACAAGCTTCCAAGATGCGCCAAGCTACACAAACTCTAACCCTGCAAACGCGAAGTGCCTCGAGACTGAAGATGGCCGAATTGACAGCCCTGACGCCGACTCATGACCCTGTGAAGAAACGTCCGAACCGACCACTCATCGTCCAACTGCAATCCATTCCAGTAATTCGGATAGCGCCTAAATGATGGGCCCTCCCCCAATTGCCTGGGGAGTTGAGGCAACTCGTCCGTCCTTCTCCCACATCCCGATGAACGACTCCCAGCGCAATGGTTCAGCTCATGGGATTAAGTCTAAATTCTAGCAGTGCATTCACTACCACCTAGAGCCCCTAAACTTTACTTTTAGGGGGACATGGAGAGATCCGATGGACAAGTCGGAGGCCGCGGAACACAGAAAACCTGCGGAAACTGCCGAAAAATCGGGCGAGCTCGTCATTCAAGGCCATCCCAGGCCTACATCATCGCACATGATGCAGCAGCAATCTGCATCAAGAACCTTGCAGAAAATACCTCAACCCTAGCCTATCGCAAGCTATCGACAGGTGGCATAGCTCGTGGAGGGGCGGCTCAGCTTGTCAAATATAGGCCGGGGCCTTTTCGAAAGCCACGTTGATCCCCATGGCACAATGGCTTAATGGATACCCAAAACAGACGGTGGTAAATCCAGAGGTGACATCCAAGCCACATGGAGCATAAAAAGAGGGGACTGGGGCAAGAACGGGGCGCTCTAACGGGATGGCTACCGAAAGGAACCTCTCGCGATGCTTCTACAGCAGCCTCGTGCTCGTATAGCCCTCTAAATCTGACAGAACTCTCCCTCTGCTCTGCCCTTGGCGGCTTGGCGAGGAGGGGTATTCCTTCGACGCCGTTTACGATTATTATTCAGATGGATAAGATAATCTAATCAGATCTGCAGTGTGCGTCGCATTTCCTGTCACACAAGTGCCCCTCCATCGCAACGGCGAGCGTCTTCGGCGGTGGGTGGCATTACCGCATACGCTCGGTTTAATTACCTAACGAGCAAGAGAGGAAGGTTAGATGAAGAAAATAGCCGCCGTTAACCCCACGGCTTGTACCTTGACATGTACGAAAAGACGATGAAGAGAGGTACACGCTTCTTGGCGAGATCTGGTCCAGCCCGGCATTCGTGGGATGAAGGGACCGAAGAGAGTAAATAAAAGAGACACCTTCCCCTCCAACCCCTCGTTGGTAATGACGTCTCTTCACACCATTCGGAAATGTCTGCATCTGCTTTCATAGATACCCCTTTCAGTTCTTATTTGTCTTCCAAAATGGCCGCGCCACAGCCGACTATTAACGACCTCGCCGCCAAGATCGGCGAGCTCTCGGCCGAGTTCACCAAATTCTTGAGCGAAAACAAGATCCCTCAGCCTACTTTTGCCGCGGACAGCGTCTCAAGCTACGATGGCCTCACGTCAGAAGCCTTTTTGCTCCGCCAGAAGCTGTTGGATGCCGCCAACGATCTCTCCTACCTAGTCTCAGGACCAAGTGAGAGCATCTTCAACTACACCCATAATGTAGGTTGAACCTTGCCCTTCTTCGCTGCTGTTCTTCATTCTTGGTGCCGTGACTCAGATAGCTGACCCTGAATAGATGTCTCCTGATGCCGCATCACTCAATACCCTCAACCACTTCGATTTCTGGTCCGCCGTGCCCATTGATGGCGACGCCTCGTACGCAGACATCGCAAAGCACGTCCGCCTGCCCGAAGAAGTGGTCCACCGTGTCCTTGATCACGCCTACACCCTGCGCATCTTTGAGGAGACCGATCCCGGCAAGCCCTTCACCACTCGCGTCCGTCACACCTCGCGATCTGCTGCGCTGCTGAAGAACGCCGGCCTCAGGGCGCTGGTTGAGGCTCTCATGAACGATGCTGGCCCGGCTATGGGTGTCCTTCCCTACGCACTGGAGAAGTTCCAGCGCGGTAAGACAGAATTGAAGGAGGATATGACGGAGACTGCATTTGCGCTGTACCACTCTGGCGAACTCTGTGGTGGATACACAAACTCGTGGGAGCTGCTGGAGAACGACGGCGAGGGCGAAAACAAGGGCTTCCGCCAGAGAAACTTCGTCAAGTGGATGAACTACATCAAAGAGATCTTCCGCTTGGAGGGATTGGTCAACAGTGCCTACGACTGGAAGGCCGCTGGCGACTTCAGCGTTGTCGATGTAAGTTGTTTTTGGGGCTTTAGTGGCGCAACATCCCAGTATCTCAGGAAATCATTGACTGACGCCCCCTTTACAGCTCGGCGGCTCTGGTGGCCACGACAGCTTCGTTTTGGCGAAGAACTTCCCCAACCTCAAGATCACTGTTCAAGACCTGCCCAACTGCGAGACTTCTTTCAACCAAAACATTCCCGAGGAGCTCAAGGGCCGAGTCAACTTCCAGCCCCACAGCTTCTTCGAGCCGCAGCCCCTGTCCGCCGACCTGTACATGATCAAGCTTATTCTCCACGACTGGCCCGATGCGGAGTCTATCAAGATTCTCAAGGGTCTCACACCGGCACTGCGCCCTGGTGCCCGAGTTCTCTTCATCGACTATGTCGGCAAGCAGGGTGACGTCGAGGAGAACGCCGCGGCGGCTGCGGCGCTGCCCAAGTCTATTCAGCAGATGGGCACTTCAACGGATCTGAGAATGATGGGTCTTTTCAGCGCAAAGGAGAGACCTGTCGACGCGTGGACAGAGTTGTTCAAGAAGGCGGACGAGAGATACGAGATCAAGCGTGTTGAGGCCAACCCCTTGACTTTCTTTGTCATTATCGAGGCCGTTTGGCGCGGTTGAGGCGATTATTTGTTGGAAGCATTGTGAGGAATGATTTAGAGCACGTCATCATGTGAATATGAAACAAAAGTTCTCGATTCTTACATCTACGTCTATTCGTGTTTGTGATCCCGTTTTTCATACGAAGTAGATGCCCATGGCATTGTCCTAACTCCCCTGTTAATTCGGCTTGAGACAGAACCCTGTTGCGACGTGCGTGGGCGGGCCTGGATCTTGGCTGTCCCACATGCCAGTGTGGATTGCTGCTCCCCTTGCAAGTTGCACCTGTCCACCAACCCACCAAGCCCTATCGCTTCGTGATGCCCTCCACACAGTCGGCCAACCCTTCAGATAGTGTGTCTGCTTGAGCTGAGTCATCAAGCAACTTGGTCTGGTGGTGTAGTTGGTTATCACGTCAGTCTAACAGTTCGAGAGCCTCTCAATTCTCTCGTCTGCCACACTGAAGATCTCCGGTTCAAGTCCGGGCTAGATCATTATATGGGCGATTGGTTTAGTGGTATAATGACCGCTTAGCATGCGGTAGGTCCTGGGTTCGATTCCCAGATCGTCCATTCTTTTGATTAGTAGATGTCTCTCATCACCCCTTTTTGGGTCGAGGCTATCGCGAGTTCGTGAACCTGGTTGTCGAGGTGTGATATAGGCCTGAGGCTGCCGCTAACTTAGTAGAGGTACGGGTCATGAGTTGACTCTCAATTCGACTTCCCAGTTGTTGATCTTAGCTCTGTCTTATGTAGGTCTCTTATCCGAGAGAAGTTTGCTTGGAAATATTAAAGGCAGTGGTCCTCAGTAACACCAGACGCTGCCGCAGGGAACTGCGCATGGCGGTACAGCGGATTGAGATCCTACGAGTGGGCCTTTCTGCTCCGGAAAGCACTTGATTGAGTCACTGCAATTCTTCTCGAAATGAGAGAGCATCTCCTTCTGTCTCACGATTATCAGCGCTTATCTGAACGGCATGATGGGATTTCAGATGGCTAGCCGTCACAAGAACTTTAGTCAATTCGTCGGGATTGGAGTTCAGCAATGGCTTCTGGGGGTAGGCCGCATGGACCGGCGCTGTTCTAGCGCACTTTGCAACGCAACAGGGCACGGAACAGGCTAAGTGTTGGGACTAACTAGTAAGGACTCACGGCAAACTACAGGTGTGCAGTGAGATTGGAGACTTGGATGAAGAAGATACTACTGAAAGACACCATAAGAGAGAAACCATCCCATTAGTTGAGCTATAGTGGGCGGGTGGATGTCACCGGTGAGATGGCACGGCGCTGTCGAGAGGAGCTCTTCGGCACCTTGCATGCAAGTGTTGACCTGCATATGTGACCCCAGATAGATGCTTTCTGATTGCTCAAGACAATGCCTCTCTGCACTTGGCTTTCGTCGAATTCGAACACTCGGTCAAAGGGTGGATCTTAAGCCGAGACAAAGAAATCAAGACAATCAGGTCACGGACCAAAGATGAGGAGGCCTAGAAGCATAAGAAATCCATCTCCCTACACGCATAGTAACCCATTGTGTAGAATGAATCAACTTCCATCTCCCGAGTACACAATGCCTAGCTTGATTGACGTCTTGGAATATCCCGTGTATATTGTGCTATATTCATCATGGCATAAGGTTCATCCATAGGGCCGAACACCACATTACAGCATACGGATACAACTCTGGATGCTGAGGGGGAAGAAGCAGGCTTGATAGGTGACCTCGGGCCAGTGACCCTCCACATCTTCCACATGCTTCACCTAGCGCGAATCCTTAGTGCAAATGGCCTTGTTCAGCGTGATTCCAGGCTTCTTCCCGGTTTACCCTCCTCTGTTACTAGTCCTCTGCAGCCACGATTCTTCACCTTGGACATGGGCGCTCACCCAGCCTTGGGTTGCATTTGCCAATAAAGCGAAGCTTATTCCCCAATCTCTCGTTTGTCGTCTTCATCGTGTCATTTCTCCTCCACTTACTCTCCCCATACTCATGGGCCAACATCGTCGAGCGTGAACCCCGATTCCGACGCCCTGGACCTGCAGTTTTGTTTCTTTTCCGCTTGCCCCGCGCTGTCGCGGCTGCTGTGCCTCTCTCCCGCAAGGCGTTACCAAGCCATCGGGCCCGCGACGAACGAGAAATGACAAAATAGCGACAGGGTCTACGCATGCCAACCAACGACAAAATAGACGGGTGAGGCACCAGACAGCAGTTATCAAGCACTATCGAGATATAGGCAACACAGGGCTTAAGCTATTGCAGCACCGGAAAGCACAGTTAGACAAACAGCAGTTGATGGCAAGCGACAATAGAGCCAGGAAACGAGGGCTACAATCACATCAGCGACGAAGCAGACATACATGCATCTTTGACGGCGCCAAGTATCTGCCTTCTTTCCTGCCCAGAACACGGGACGACCGCCTACAAGCGAAGCAAGCTACCAAGCGGCGCAGCAGCAGCAAGAGCGAATCGGGGGTGCGCCAGTGAGACTGTTGGAACGGCACGGGACGGGCGACGGGACGAGACAATCTTTTCTACGCGAGCAGGACAAGAGCTTCGGGGGGAATGGCCGGTCTCGGGCCCAATCAAGTGGGCTTGGATGAGGGTCATCTGGAACCCATTCCAGGCTTGAGCATGTCTGGAGTCTTAATCGCAAAATCCATCGCCCTAGTCGCCGCCATCGCCTTTTTTGTGTGGGAGTTTCGGTCATGGTATCGCCTGCGAAAGATCCCTGGACCTTTCCTAGCCTCGATCTCAGTCCTTTGGCAATTGAAAAGGGCAATTGGGGGAACATATCATGAGCACCTGAATGATATTGCGAGGAAATATGGTGAGTGGACTTCTTCATTGCCATTGAGAAACCACGCCCGGTGGCTTTGGAGTTGCGATAGCAAGCCAACAAGCACCCCAAGAAACTAGAGACAGACGCTGATCACTGATCGTCATTGCAGGACCACTCGCTCGCATTGGGCCCAACGAGCTCCTCTGCACAGACCCAGACTCACTGCGCAAGATGTCGGCCGTCCGCTCGTCGTACACCAAGGGCGATTTCTATGACTCCGGCCGGATCACTCCGGGCGTAGATAATGTTGTCTCGATGCGGGACGAGAACGAACATAAGGCTATGAGGGCGAGAATGGGACCGGCCGTAAGTTTGAATTTCCTTTGTGGCCTCAGACTTTCGCTGGCTGGTATTTTCGTGACCCCCAGAAGCGCTGCCACTTTTGAGTTCAAGTCCGCTAATTGCGCTCTCTGCGTTGCTGAATAGTACACCGCCAAAGAGAATGAAGGTTATGGCTTTGAGGTCGGGATCGACCGCCAGCTCATGAATTTTGTTAGCCTGATAGACCGACATTACGTTTCCACCGATTCGGAATTTCGTCCGCTGGATTTCGCCGAGAAGACACAGTTCTTTGCGCTCGACGCCATTGGCGATGTTTCCTTCGGCGGTGCATTCGGGTTTCTTGCAGAGGACCGGGACCTATTTCGGTATATTGAGATTAACGAGTCGTCTTTGCCCATTATGAACGTCGTTTCGGTGCTTCCTTGGCTTGGGAGACTTGTTCACAAATGGCCTTTCAGGCTCATGTTACCCAAGGAGGATGACCAGATCGGCTTTGGTCGTTTGATGGGGTGAGTGAAGCCAATGTTGGGCCTGGCACCATCCATGAGTCTGATCACTAATAACACAACGCAGCTTCGCTAAAAACTACGCTGAAATGAGACTTCAACCCGGCGCGAAGCCCCAGAAAGACATGATGCAAGCTTTCATCAACCAAGGTCTCGGCAAAGATGAACTTATTCAACTCGTGTACATCCACATGTGAGTATCATCCACAACTTTCCTCGATTCATATGCTCATGACATATCAGGATCGCTGGCACAAACTCGGCCGCACAAGCCATGCGCATGACATTATTATCGTTAATTAACAATCCGGTTGCTTACCGTCGGCTCCAGCAGGAGATCGACGATGCTACTGCCGCCGGCCTGATCAGTTCTCCCATCACCAATGCCGAAGCTCTGAGACTTCCATATCTCCAAGCCGTCATCCGCGAAGGCCTGCGTTTCTACCCTCCTGTCACTGGCCTCGGCTTCAAGCAAGCACCGGAGGGCGGAGACATCCTAAACGGCTATTTTGTTCCTGGCGGCACCCAGATCGGACACAACTTCTTCGGCGTCGGACGCTCACTCTGGGTGTGGGGTCCGGATGCCGATGTTTTCCGCCCAGAGAGATGGCTTTCGGCAAATGAAGATGGTCTCAGACGAATGAACGCCGCAGTTGATTCCCACTTTGGCCACGGTAAATACTCTTGTCTCGGAAAACCGATCGCCATGATGGAGTTAAACAAAGTCTTCGTCGAGGTAAAATTTTTTCCTCATACACTTTCCGTGCAGCATCTTACTAACTTCATACAGCTATTGAGGAGATATGACTTCACCGTCATGAACCCAGAAAAACCAATCAAGACTCTCAGTGCGATTTTCTTCGTCGCCAGGGACTTTTGGGTGAGGTTGACTAGGCGTCCAACGAGGGAATAACGGACAGCCCGGCCTCAATCGTGTTCCCGTAAATAATGACTGCTATGAATTTCCTATATTTTTCTCTCGTCACATCTTCAAGGGAGGGAATCTCCCACTTGAGGCAGTCTAGCGATGCCTTTATCTTTCAATGGATTTCATCAAACAAGGGCTGCAACGCAGTATTTGTAATTGAAATAATGTATTGCTGCACATACATCCTAAGTATGAATTGAACGTTGTCCGGAATGAACCCGAATGGTTCCATGTGATCAATCTTCTAATATTTCTTTTCTGATGTTGAAGCATGCATACTTAGAGATGCTTCATAGATTACAAGGAAGCTAGACAAGAAGGAAAACATAAGGCAGGGTATGATATTTGACGGAACTCAGCTTATACTTTGGTTACCCAGCTCTTCTTCCTACAAACAGATCCGCAACCTACAAGAAAGTCAATGGACTTCCCGCGACTCTTCTTAAGGACGATTATGGTCGCCAAAGACAGCACAGATAGGCACACAGTAACCCAGAACAAAACAGTTCCCAGGTGATCTGATACGTAGTTCAAGAACTGCCCATCTGACCCATGCCACGAGCGTCCTGCCGCGTGGCCGAACAGCTTCCGGGCGTATCCCTCATCCAGCAACGCCACGCCGTGATGCAATGTGCTGTACATCCACGCGTACTGATGGAACGCATATGTGACCATTATCGGGCCTGTCGACCAGAATACCTGGAGGTAGGGAAGGAGGATTCGTTTCGAGGTCGCACCGCCGCGTCGCTTAGCTTCTTGGAGAGCCCATTCGAGAAAGGAGGAGCCACGCTGTGCCATGAAGAAGTGATTGCTGAGTCCAAGAGTATTTGATGTCGGGGCGAAGACAGCCTGTAAGCCGAGGCTTTGCATACAGGACATCACCTCAGTCGATCTGGGGTATACGTCCAAGTCTGCATAAATGCCTCCCTCTGCATGGACAACGACCAGTCTCGCCACATCGGCTCGTTGAATATTCTGGGCATAGCCCTCGTATGTCGATAGCAACCAAGAGTATTCTGTCTTTATAAGTTCGAGAACATCTTCGTCTGTCCATAGTTTGATGGTATAGTTGAGAGGTTCCATCGTATGTTTCCACGTCTCGTATGAAGCTTGTATGCGCTCCCCCGAACCTGGGTAAGTGCTTGTATCGTTGGTTTTCCAGATTTGGTGAATAATTTTAGGAATGGGCTCTTGTGGTGTGGATGCTTCGGTGGGATGTATAAGGTCTTTTCCATAGCGTTCAGAAGCATTACAGAACCTGACCAATTCTATGGACTGGTTTGGGAGAGCGAAGTCGTTTGCGTAGCTGAGTTGATGAACAACCAAGGCGGCCGTCATGGCTAAGGTAACAAGCGCCGAAGCCTTCAACATTGCTTTTCCAGGGAGTGCTATCATCTTGGACACCAGAAACGTTTCCTTCTTATGCTTTCGTTGGAGGTAATCGTTGATGGTTCTCGGTTTTCGAACAGGTTGAGGAGAAGAATCGAAGAAGGAATACGTCGCTAAAGTTGAGGATATATCGTGAAAGTAAAGAATGAACAGAGGGCTGAGTAAGGTTGGGGATAATAATCCTAGAAGCTTGTAGAGAAAATGAAGTCGGGTATCACAGAAAAGAGTCTCAGAAATAAGGATGTTTGCAGAACGCTATCAACGAACGTACAGTGAATTGGAACGACTCCGAATAAAACTTGGATCTGAGGTATTTTTTCTCAAGAGGAAGTTCGAACACATGGTATTCTATTAAATAAAGGAGACTTCATGTGGCTCGCAGCACCCAGACAAAGACTTTAGAGTACAGACTTCTTGATCAGTTCAACTTTACCCAGGTACTGCCACAGGCTGCTCCTAGACTAGATGTAAGTCAACATACCCACTTCCTGGCACCCCCCTGTTTCTGGCACCCACAAAAACGCGAAAATCCACCACAACCCAATGCCCACCCCCAACCTCCTTTTATCACAACATTTTCAATTCGCGTCCAAATGGGCTCATCTTTTGCACATGTCTTCTTCTATATATAATGCCTCAATATACCGAAGATCAGCTTCGTCAGGCTCTCGAGGA